TTATTTACTCAATTAGGAGTTGCCCGGTAATAAACCCTAAAACCAAAGAATTAGACTTGGATAAAATTAATAGGTTTGGAATAAACTAAATGGGATTGGACTAAATAACATGAAATTGAATAAAGTCAATGGACTTAGGATAAAGTTAATGAGCTTGGATTAAAGTAAATAGACTTGGACCTTTTTTTAAATATTAACAAAACTAATTAACAATATTAATGAGCGGAGGTTGTGTTCCCATTGTGGGTATCATGATTGGTATGTGAGCAATGAATAAATTTCGAGTGTGGGTTGGACCGTGAGCATGGCATGAGAACGAAGGGTTGGTACCCGAATTTGATTGAATGTGATTAAATATGTCATCACGTGCATCATGTGCATAGTGGGTGGTTTAAGACAAGTCAATTGATTGAGAAATGGTTTATACATCTAGGCTTGATAACCTAACTGGAATAAATGGGTATTAGTAGTCCAAGTACTCTAGGTCGTGTGCTCGCACTATTAGACGATGGATTTCCGCTAATAGTATTTACAATGAGGGATAATTCCGTTGTAGCAAAAAATGATCCGAGGATCATCTCGGATGAAATCAAGCCGTGTGCTTCGCACCGTTAGACGATGGATTCCCGCTAATAGTAGTTACAACGAGGGATAATTCCGTTGTAGAAGAAGGTGATCTCGCGGACCACTCGGATGATAAATAGAGTAAACCGGCTAATACCCGTGGTACTCGAGATTAAAATTTATGAGTATGGTGAAAAGTCAAAACAACATTGCATATCACGTGCATCACCCCGCTTACCGAGCTTCGGCTCACCTCGTTTTTTTTTTTTATTATGTCTTGACATAAAAAGGACAAGTTGGTACGGATGTGGCCGGCTCTTCCTAACCGGCTCATGTGAGGCACCATATATTAGTTTTTATTTTGTCCGTAAATTTAGGGTATGGAGTTCATGAGAAATTGAATATCGTTTGTAATGTTTTATTAATGTATTTAATTATGTTATGTAAATTTTATCTTAAGAAGTTATATACGTAATGTACTCGTTAAAGTTCTAAGAATATCATAAGAACACTACTTAGAGTTTAAGGTATGTCGGCGTGACGCACTTCGTCCAGGACCCTACTTGGGTAGTAGAAATATGATTGGGGCGAGGGCGTTACGTAAATTTTAGGATACCCATTGTGTAATAAAAAAGGCTTTTCACTCAATCCTATTCGATCGGATGTGAGTCAAGTTAAAAAAAAAAACAACAACACTCTTCCAGTTTGGACTTATTGTCATCCTTAGTTTTATCTTGATTTTTTTTTTAATAAAATGAAATTTCACCTTGATTTTAAGTGATATGTTACACACACGCGTGAATTTTAATACGGGTCTTTAAGGAATTATAATATTTTGTTATCTCGGTTAATAGCAAATTATATTCATGTACTCTTTTTTTTGTATGGATGGTGTCTTTGTATAAAATTATTTATGGATTCTATTTTTTTACTATAGATTCTGTTAGTGCATTTTCCTTTTATCAAGTTATGTTTCATTGGAAACCACATGTGCGACGTCAATTGGTTGCAGCTTAAGGAGTTATGTGTAGAAAAAAAACAAAGATATAAAAGAAAAATATATGAAAATTAAAATTTTTTAAAGATTAGAAATGTAAAATTATAGATTAAGTAATTTTGAAGAAAAATAAGAAAATTTTATATATAATTCATGTAAATTGTTTTTTTCTCAAGAATTAATTTCATATTTTGGATTCTTATTAGTTACCATTCATTGCATGTCCTAAAAACAACTTTTTTTTTCTAATAGAAAAAAATATATAATGATGGGCCTCCTTTTTTTATTCATATTTATTTGTGTTTTTTATTCTATTTTCATTTTAAATTCTATTTTTCATGATTTTTGACACTCGACATCCAATTTAACAAAATTTGACGAAAAAGAAAATATTTTAATGGAATCTATGGTAGAAGTGGAATTCATAAAAAGTTAAATCCACATGGCAAAAAAATATGATGTGTCATTCAACGTAAATTTTTTTATGCCGACTATCGGTTTTGATATAAAAATTAGCTAAAAAAACAATGGGAGGGGCATATTAAAATAATTCAAGAGTAGAAAGAGGTTATGAATAAAAAAAATACAGGAGCCACATTAAAAAAATAAAAAAATAGAGGCATCTTTGATGCAATTAACCCAAAAAACAACAATATAAAAGAAAAACATGGCTTTTGTTTATAATAATAATAATAATAATAAAAAGAATTGAAGAGAAAGATGATAGAAAAATGATTTTTTTTGTTGAAAAAATAATGATAATGGTAAAAGATTGTTATGATAATAGTAAAAAAAATTGAAAAAAAAATGATGAAAAAATAATTTTACTATGAAATAAAGTGAATACAAGTGATATCGACTTTAAACAATTCTCTCAATCTCTACAAAATACTTCAATACAAAACTAATGAACAATCAAATCTATTTATAGGCTTCAAGACTATAGAAGAGAATTAAAAAAGATTATGAATAATTAAAAGGTCCATAAATAGTTTAATCAATTGCATCATCCTTTCTCATATTGAATAGTGAATTGAATCAAAATGAGAATTATAAGTACCGAGAATATGAACATTCATTATCTTATAACACTCTTCTTTGAATGTCTCTTATACAAGGAATATACCTCGTTAAAACCTTATTAGAAAAAAATCCAATAGAAAAAAATACTAGTGAATAAAAAAAAGAGTAAAATATTCCTTATACACATAAATCCTCATGCTCGGGCTCACCCTATTGAAAACATTATTTAAGATCTTTAAGAGACGTATCCTAATCTTCTAAATCATCTTCTCAAAGTTGTGATAGATAATGCCTTAGTGAACAAATCTACCAGATTATCACTTGATCGAATTTATTAAATATTAATATGATATATGTTTCGTTTTGTCATCTTTGATATATCCTTCTTTTGATTGACTTATGCAAGCAACATTATCTTCATATAATTTTTTTGAAACTTTCTTGCTAATGGAAAGCCGAGTGTCTCTTAGATATGATGCATCATCAATCTTAACCAAATACATTCTCGATTTTGCCTTATGAATTGTTAGTATTTCTACATGATTTGAAGATGTAGTAGTTATAGTTTACTTGACATAATTTCATGATGTAGTTATATCACCATGTATAAATACATAATCAGTTTGCGATCGAGTTTTCTATAATTTAGATAAATAACATGCATTTATATAGCTAATCAAACTTGATTTTGATTTATTTGAGTAAAATAAATAGCATATCAATTTTTTTTTAGAGATAACATAATATATATTTAATTCCATTCGAATGTCTTCTCGCATTGGAGCGAACTATCACTACACCAAAAAAAGACATTGCAGGTGGTTTTTTAGCTTCCAGAGGCGGTTATAGATTGTAGAGACGGTTTCGAGGATCATCCCAAGACAGATCCGTAATGCCACCATCTCTACAAGTGCAGGGGCGGTTTTGGCAACCGTCGGGGATTTCGAGGTAGTTGCTTGGGGTGATTCAAATCGCCTCTACGATACCAATATTATTGTCGAGTTTTTGGCACGTAATTTTTGGGGCAGTTTAGAACCACTTCTATGTTTCGAAGTTTGCAAATTTAAAAACGCCCCAAACTCTAAAATTCATAATTTGTAGAGGCAATTGTAACCGCCTCTATGTTTCAAATTTTATAATTCATGCGAAATAAGTGAATTTTGTTCCAAATTTATACGGATTTTATAATTCATCCTTCAAATTCAATTGTTTTTTTATTTTTTCAAAAAACAAACAAATAAATAAAAATTTAATCTTGTTGAATGCAAATAAAAGAAAAATTATATAGCTTACACAATATTCTTAAATTTGTAATTATCAAATTCCAAATACATAAAAAGTCATCAAACATTCACAAGAAAAAAAATAAAAAACTAAAGGATTAAACACTTATTCTTAATACATAAAAACAATTCGAAATATAATTTAAAATAAGTGGCTAACGTTTACAAAAAAAAAAAAAACAATCATGTTTTTATGGAAATGTTTCTTTTCGACGGACGACTTTATTGTGATGAGCAATTAGGAGAAGCAACATTTTGACCATTACCATCATTACGAACCTATCAAAAGCATAATTTGAAAGTAAAAAAAAAAAACAAAAATATAAATAAAGATAAAAACTCATTAAAGATCAATAAACATGTTAATTATTTACTTAAAAGTATATGATACCTAAGTAGGTATTGTCGATCTTTGTTGTAGGAGATTTACAACGGTAACTTTTTCAAGCTCTTGCACTACATTGTCAAGCTCCCGCTCAAATAAGACAATTCTAAAATGGTTTCGAGTGCCAAAAGAGTTAGCAAGATTAAATAGATAAAAATACTTTTTCTTGGGAGGAAAAAGAAGTGCTTTAAATAAACCAAAACCACGTAAACTTTAATCAAGCATAATTGAGATCTCCAGGATTACTAACCATCAAAGATACAAATTCTATCCTAATTGCTTCAAAGAGTTTACACTTGAGTACTACATCATGGATGTAAAAATAGCTTACGAATTTCTCACATTTCATCATCAAGTTGTTGGTCAACCATTGTCTTCTCAGCAAGACAAGATCTAATATATATATATATATATATATATATATATATATATATATATATATATATATATATATATATATATATATATATATATTCTAGACATTCAAAGGAATAACTAACCTTTATATATGTATATAAAAGACATAACTAAAATTAAATGAGCGGACTCTCAAATCCCTAAGTCAAACTGCAAGAACTCTTCAACCAATTCGGATCCTATTCCTATTATACTTTGGATGACTAAGTAACAAGGAGATGTACTAGTCATACACCCTAGTGCCTTTCATGTGCACCGTTCATAAGCAAACATAACAAGAAACCGCAGTCCGACGTATACAATGACCTCCCGGTACCATCCGTTTGAGCTATCACTGGTGCATCACACTCTTGTATTTTCCATTGGCAATGACCTATATGACAAAAATAAAACAATGTCATTCTCATTAAAAGACAAAGTCGCTTTAAATAAAGCTGGCAAAATGACATTTGAGAAGATGCCGTGAAACCAAAGTTTATTTATGTTAAAGTTATCTTCCTTTAACATGGTATATATTCTCGTTAAAATCTAGTCCCTTGTTATTCAAGGTTTGATTACAAGTATATATTCTCACACTTTAAAACCACAAGTTGAAACTTGAAAGTGACTAGAAAAAAGGAAAGTAATGATCATGAAGGATTATATGGATATAGTTATACCTCAATTTGGTCACCTAAGTTGATCACAATGGAGTGGTTCATGGGTGGAACATCAATCCATTGGTCGTCCTTAAGGAGCCTGGAGGCCACCGACCTTATCGTTTTGGAAGACTAAAATGATGCCACCATTTCTTTAAACCTTGTTGGCCACCATGTCATCGATTTCAGCATACGCAAGAAGAAAGTGCTTTCCCAATCCAAGTCATCGATTTCGGATTGAGCGACCTCGAGACCTTTCTTGGGCACCATTTTTTTAAACCTTTGCTCCATGTATTTCATGTAGTGCTCTTTTATGAGTCTCTCTACGATGTCCAAGAGATCATGAGATATCCCATGGTTCACCAACTTCATTTACAAACACATCAAAAACATTGATAGTATATTAATTATAATCCTAACATACAAGTCGTTCCAAAAATACTTCATTAGAGACTATCTTTATTGCATAAAATGAAAAGAATTCTAGAACAAAACTCCAAGTATGTACCTCAAAGAAACCCCAGTTCTCACGGGCATCATTAATCATCTCTATGGTTGGTTTCCTCTCTTCACCATTAAGCTTTGACAAGTCAACCTGGAGTAGTCAAGATAGTGTGGTACAATAATGCAATAAACCGATCTTAACCAATTAAGCGAGTGGAATTTAGTGAGGTTGTAAAGTTTTAAAATTTCAATGCACGAAACCAAGAACTAATCTTAAGATATGAATAACTTACGAGTATTTGGCATCCTCAACCTTTCCAATGTATTGGACTTGTCTGCCTTGTAATTGCTACATGTAGATCACATATGAAATTCTAAATCATATGTGTGTTTACCGAACATATGAAAAAGTGATAAAAAATCTATAACTCAATATTCCCAAAACAAGAAAAGATCACAATTAAGATTGTTTATAAACTTTAAAGTTCTATTCCAATCAACATAATCAAAATATTATGTTTATATACAAATCTTATATCTATCAATAGAGAAATTGGGAAATATACCACAACCGTAGCAAGGGGTGCGAGAATCTAACACTAAGTTTCTCCAAGTATCCGATGGTCCACACCCTTTCTATTTACAAAGCATCGAATAAGGACAACAACACCAACTTCAAATTCAACCATAAGCTCGAGAGCAAAACACAAGTATAGATGAATAAGAGGAAACATATTGTGTTTAAATCCGGTGAACATATATGATACAAGTAAAGAAAAAATACTTTCACTTCAACTTTCAATATTATATACACTAAATGCTCAATAAACCCACATTGTAGACATTAAAGATTAAAGACAAAGAAATCCATAAAAGAAATAAATTGATACACACAAATAAACTCAAGTATAGAAACTCACATTAGTTTTAACAAGAATCAAATAAAATTGGAATACCTAACAACCATATATAACGAAAAGGGGAAGAACCCAACAGAGGACAACATCATTCATGGGCTAAATTTAATAAAATAAAAAAAACCCATAAATCTAAAATCACACCAATACACAAGTAGACCAAAAAGAGTAAAAACTCAATAAAGATTTATCGTTATTTATAGATATAATTAATTGATTGATAAAAATGAAAATGAATCGGAAACCCTCGATAAGTTGAAATGAAAGAAACATTACCGGGAAGAGATAAGGATTGAGGTGGGTGAGAAGGGGTAAGGAGAACAATGACGACAGATTTATGAGGGTGGGTGGATCTAGGTTTTTTTAACGTGTTTGGGAAATTGGAAAGAATAATGAGAGGTTTTTTAAAAGAAGAAGGTAAGGAAGAAGAATTGTCAGTTGATGATGTCAATTAAGTTTGTGAAAGGTTGGTGCAATCTACCGGTGGCTTTCGATCCGCTTCGCTTCAGCCTTCTTTTCAAAACCTAAAAATAAAAAGATGAAGAAATTAAAGAAGTGTCGGCTTAAAACGTGGCGTGGGGCGGTTTTATCAACCGTCCCACATTTTTTTTTGGTTATAACGCGAGTGGGTATAAAATTATTAAATTTTGGGACGGGTTTCTTAACCGCCCCAAACATTTTGCCCCTATAGGCTTTTTTTGGTGTAGTGGATGTCTTACCAATAAATTTATAAAAAAAAAAACTATATCAAGTCGAGTATTATTAGCAAATATCAATGCACCAATTATACTAAAATATAATACTTTAAGATTAAATAGTTTTTTGTTATCTTCTCAAGATAAAAAAATAATTATTTTAGATATCAAGTGAAGAAACTATTATTGAACTAGTTAACAAGTGAACCTTATAAATATAGAATTGTTGTAAAAAAATTTCTATATAAGTTGATTGATGAATAAAAATCTTATCTTCTAAGTATTCGAATTACATATCGAGATAAAATTTATTTATTTATCAAAACTAAAAAATCTAATTTATAATTTACTTTTAATATAAAAGGTCGACAACCGAAAACGTGAAAATATTACTCCATGAAGCTATACTACGAGCTGTGGCTTTCAACTCTTCCATTTGTCACTTAATTGTTAATTAGTGAATTTGTTTTGTTTTTTCTGTAAGAGTTAGTTTAGGATTTGGCCAATACGAAGAAAGGTCATAAATACAGACCATCGCATCTACCTACTCAAGAAAACAAAAACGGCCATCCAACCTCCACATCAGCCGTGGCTAACTAACCAAGTATAACATCTACCATTCTTCTTTTGGAGAACAAATAACGTCTTTGATTTTGTATACCGCTACCACGTAGCAATGTTGATATCGTTCCGATTTTGTTATCAGTATGAAATTGTTTTCGTATAAAAATATCTTGGCTTTTCGTTTCAAAGTCTTATGTACGGTGGAAATAAAATATTGGAATTCATATTTTAACACAAACGAATTACAATCTAAATATCTAAAAATCTATTAACTTCAAATAGTTCAATACAAACAAAAATGTCAAACATTTTAAAAATTAAAATTGTCCAATAAAAATAAAATAACAAATATAAATCAAACATCATCTTTCCCATTTACATAAAAATAAGTATTTTGATCTTGTAGTGATTTTCAAGGAATTTACTTAGAAATTGCCAAAAAAAAAAAAAAAAGTAGAGAGAGAGAGATAGAGATGGTTAAAAATCTTTAAAATATCTATGTAATAATTCGGAATAGAACGGTATCATCAAAGAATCCAAAATGGACTTAGATTTAAACCGGGATGATATTAATTTTATTTTGAAGATGGAATGACGAAACACCAATCATTTTGGTCAGAATAAAACAATATTGACAACACTCTTTGTAATATACGAATCAAAATTTTAAAAATATGGTATATGCTAAACCTGTTGTTACTGATTTTTTTTGTTTTAAATCATACATTAAAAAGAAAGCCAATGTTTCTATATTTGAGCAAAGACATTGAATATATATTGTAATTAAGGATTTGCTTAGTAGTTAATGAGATTGGTTTTTTTTTAGAAGAATTTATTCCTTTGATGTCTAAGACAACCGATGTAATAAATAAAAACAAAACGCCAGAATCGCATAATCACATGTTCTAACTAAAGTTAGAAGAAAACAAAAATGAAGCACGGTTGAGGGGAAAAATCCCGTTTCACGTGCGGCTATGCACACCGCACGTTGCAACCTACTACAACCATCTCTCAGTCTCGTTCTTCGTCTCCTCCTCCTGTATTTATATCCCAACTAATCTTACTTTTCTTGACAGTCTTGCTTAAAAATAATAGAGGAAAAACAAAGAGAGAATCATGTCTCCTCTGATACTTTACTCGGGGCTATTGGCCATCTTCGTCTATTGCCTTCTTCACCTGCGAAGCCTCCTCAACCGTCACCCTCACCCTCTCCCGCCAGGCCCAAAACCATGGCCCCTAGTTGGAAACCTACTCCAGTTGGGGCCTATGCCTCACCAGTCCATGGCAGCCCTGGCAAAAACTTATGGGCCTCTCATGCACCTCCGGTTTGGCTTCGTCGACGTGGTGGTGGCTGCATCAGCTTCTGTGGCCGCTCAGTTCTTGAAAGTACATGATGCCAACTTCTCTAGCAGGCCACCAAACTCTGGCGCTAAACATATTGCATATAATTACCAAGACCTTGTGTTTGCACCGTACGGACCACGGTGGCGCGTGCTTAGGAAGATCAGCTCCGTCCATCTCTTCTCTGCCAAGTCCTTGGATGATTTTAGACATGTTAGACAGGTTAAGTTAATTTTATATATATATATATATATATATATTATGGTTTGTTTGGTTACTTTTTCTAAGAAACCAAACCATAGCTTATTATAGGAATCACATAGGTTACATAGGTCTGCATTCGTTCAATTGCAATTAGAGAAGTCTATATTCTTGATCCGATTGGTTATAGTTTATGCCCTATCTACAAGCAGAAAAAAATGAAATCATCAATGCGTAGTTGCACTGTTTATGTAGATCTGTACAGATATAACACAAACGTAAAGAGTTAATATATATATGTAGATATATATATATATAGATATTTAGAAAAATAATAATAAAAGATGCTGATGTTTGACTTTTCGAGTAGGTCTTTATTTTGTTTAGCTAGCTCCGTCTAGTAATTGATTTGACTTTTTTTTCCTTCATTAATTAAAAATTGCAGGATGAAGTGGCATTGCTTACACGCGCACTGGCAAGTGCTGGTGCAACACCCGTGAACTTGGGTCAGTTGCTTAACGTTTGCACAGCTAATGCTCTCGGGAGGGTGATGCTAGGGAGACGAGTTTTCGGTGACGGGAGTGGTGGCGGTGACCCCAAGGCAGACGAGTTCAAATCAATGGTGGTGGAAGTAATGGTGTTGGCTGGGGTGTTTAACATCGGTGACTTTGTTCCTGCTTTGGAGTGGCTTGACTTGCAGGGTGTAGCTGCTAAAATGAAGAAACTTCATAAAAGATTTGATGCTTTCTTGACTAACATTGTGGAGGAGCATAAAATAAAAAGTACTACTGCTGATGTTAGATCAGGTAAGCACACAGACCTGTTGAGTACGCTGATTGGATTGAAGGATGAGCAGCAGGATGTTGACGGTGAGGGAGGGAAGCTCACTGATACTGAAATCAAAGCATTACTATTGGTATTTATTCTTTCTTATTACCCCCAATAAATTAAGTTAAATTTAAACAAAGGATAAGTCTATAACGTTGCACTGGTAAAATGGAGCAATTAAAAACATTAGTCTTTCATTAAAAAAAAAATTGTTAATAAAATAAAAATCAACTACAGTTAATTAATCTATTATTGATCTCCGTTGCGGAAAGAATGAACCTTGTCCACTCAAAGACACAAAGGGTAGATAAATTTAAAAAATTTTGTAATACTTTAGGGCTTTGTAGATCCATTTTGAAGAGAGATAAATATATATATATATATAAAAAACAAACGAAAAAAAAAATAAGCAAATATAAAATTTTTTTATTATTTTTATAGGTCTGATATGATTTTTTATTTTTTTGTATCTATCTCTATTCTCAAAATAAATTTATAAAATAATTATTATATATATCATTAATTATTCTTTAATTATCATAAAATTTCTAAAAAAACCTATGTTTTACTTTTTAGTAATCACGCTGACTTGACATGCGGTTGCAGAACATGTTCACTGCTGGCACCGACACGTCTTCGAGCACAGTGGAATGGGCTATTGCAGAACTTATACGGCATCCAAACATCCTGGCCCAAGTCCAACAGGAGCTCGACTCCGTTGTCGGGGGGAGCGTCTAGTAAATGAGTTGGATTTGACCCAACTCACCTACCTCCAAGCCGTGGTCAAGGAAACCTTCCGGCTCCACCCTTCTACACCGTTGTCTCTTCCACGCATCGCGGGGAGAGTTGCGAGATCAATGGCTACCACATTCCAAAGAGCTCGACCGTTTTGGTGAATGTATGGGCCATAGCCCGTGACCCAGATTTATGGACTGAACCACTAGAGTTTCGGCCCGAAAGATTTCTTCCTGGGGGAGAGAAGGCTGACGTTGACGTTAAGGGAAGTGATTTTGAGCTTATACCGTTTGGTGCTGGGCGTAGAATATGTGCAGGGATGAGTCTTGGGCTGCGCATGGTTCAACTATTGACTGCAACTTTGATTCATGCATTTGATTGGGAATTGGCTAATGGATTGGTACCTGAGAAATTGGACATGCAAGAAGCTTATGGACTGACTTTACAACGCGCCGTGCCCTTAATGGTGCACCCTAGGCGTAGGTTATCCCCAAACCTCTACAAGGCATCAAATTAATGCGAGTCTGAAATTCACATAGTTATGTATGTCTTGCTTTAATTAAGTTGGCAAAAAACTTTATATTAACTAGTACCGTATTAGTTTGCATATTAATAAGTACTGCCATATAATTTATCTGAAATTTTTCTTTAAGTTGGCGATCCTTTCTGTATACCACCGTTGGCTTGGCTTGGCTGCAGTGTTTGGGACTTTCTATTTTTATTCCTTTGCGATTCAGTTTGCTTTTATATAATTATTAATTACTAGTTTAATGACATTGCAGTTTTGACATATTGAATATAGCAATTGGATCCTTGAATTTTTAGTGCTGTGGCAAAATTAGTCTATGCATCCAAATATGTTACTTTTACCATAGAATTTGCAAAAGATTAAACAAGCATAGTAATTTTTTAAATTTATTCATGATGTAAAATTGAGAGATATCTTAACTCTGCAAAAGTTCAATCACACAAATAAACAAAAGCACTCTAAGTTGGATACTCCCAACACAAAATTTAGCCCTAAAATAGTCCTTCTTAATCAACAAACACACCTCAATAAATAAAGCAACTCAAATAAACAATACCACATTTAGATATAAACTCTAACGAGACCCTAATATCCCAAAAACTTTGATTATGCTGATTCTACCCAATTTTTGGATATTTTCAAAATTTTAGATTTAACAAAAATAGGTTAAAACGATTTGAATTGTAAATTTTTAGTTCGATTGGACAACCCGAACTACCGAATGTGTTTTAAGATTGATAGTGTCAATCTAGGATTAAAATCCAAATATACCTTAATAATGCAAAAATTAACATAGAGTCTACCACCCTAAAGAAACTTAACAAAACTTAAGGGATACATAAGTTAAGAAATTCTACCGATATAGCAAACACACCACAAGAAGTTGAATGTAATTGATGTAAAGTTACCTCGCTCGATCACTCTAAAGAAGATTCATAGAAACCCTAGTTAATCCAAGCAAAGAAACACACAAATAAATGTAGAGAAAATCTTTAATTTTATTTCAATAAATGATAAAACTCTTTCACAAAGTAGCAAATAGTTTCTTTAAATACTACTCCTAAAAGTCGGCCATGGTTTATAAAAATTGTCCTAAATAGACTACAAAACTCAATCTTGTTCGAACCTCTCCAAAAGAAATAGAAAAAAAAACTCTTTCATGCCCCCATAATTTAATTTGAACTTTATCGTAGAGCATCCATATCAAATTAGAATGCATATGACTTAATGACTCCTAATAAAAAAAAAAAAATCCAAACACAAGGATCTAACCCAACATTAGGGTCATATGCGACCACCTCTAAAAATAGCATGCTTTAATATGAGAAATGCCAATCCTCTCATCATTGGGATCTCGCCTTTCAATATGAGTCATCCTTTTCTCTCGATTCTCGCTTAGCCATTTTTTTATAGTCTTTTTTGGATGGCATGAAACCCGACCGAAACATTGCTCAAGCATGTCCCAATTTCATGATGTTGAAACACTAAAAAAATCTACAACTTATGTCAAATGACATCAACTAGCTTTCTTCATGTATTTAGCTATCATTTTAACGAGTATTTGACAGTTTAGGCTTTCTCTTTTATGAGTTCTCAAAAACTAACTTAGCATTAATTACCTTTTTACCTCAATGTATAAGACTAATACATTCTTAACTATGGTCATAAGCTCTTCGACTTTCACATTTACTAGCCTTTCTCCGACTACGTATTTCAGTCTTTGATGCAAAGAAGATTTAATGGCTCTAGTAGAGAGGATCAAAGGACTTTCCAATAACATATTATAGGTCTACCGAATGTCAATGACTTACAAAGTATCTTGAAAATGGAGCGGCTTAATGTTAATGTCAATATCTATATCACTAATGACCTGTCTTGGTGTGCCATCATAAGCTCATGTCATCATATTATTGAGCTTCATATGCAAGGAATCGATTGGTAAATGGTTTAGCACATATTTGGATAACACATTAGGAATTGACCTATTGTCAATCAACACTTTAGCTATCATAAAGTCCTTGCACTTGATAGTAATGTACATGGCTTTCTTATGACCGGTGCCTTCGAGTCCCAACTCATCATTAGTGAAGTACAAATAATTGGTAGCTTGTACTCTACCCACCAGATGATCCTTCAATTCAAAAGTGATGTCTTGCAAAACATATGTCTCGATGAGAAATTTTTGAAGTGCCTTACAATAAAGCTCAAAGCTAAGTATCAATAACAATAGAGAGATGCGATCAAATGTCTTGTTCAATTGGTCCACTATGCTACACTCACTATATTTTATTAACTTTACAAATTCTATGGCTTTCTCATCATCCATAAGTTTATTCATCTCAACATTTACGGAAAATGATTTAATATCTTTGTCTTTAACTACTCTATCAACATTCACATAAATGGACTCAACATTCTTATTCTTTATTATTCTCAACTCTTCGGGAGTAAAACACCTCTTTGTATTATAAATCCCCCTATATCAACCATTTAATCGAAGAAATCTTTATCACGGCATACGACTTACTAGCCAAATAAGAAGACCCATAATTATTAAGGATAGCCCGATAATTAGTTCTTATATGAGCGAGATGCTTTCAAGATCAACTTTAGGCAACCTATTCCATTTGACTCATATCTAAAGAGCTCGGATTATTCAACTTTATAGTTTGATGATAGCATGTTCACCTCGGGTTCGTTTCTTTCCTTTCTACCCTTAGGGTTTCTACCATTAACATGGTTTGAATTATTTGATAAAATTTGCAACAATCATCAATATCATATCCCTATGCTTTGTAAATTTACAAAAATGTTAAGCATGAATAAAAAGTTGGGACTCAACAAGCTTCATATCGAAACTATTGGCGTTCATCATGTCGAATAAACGAGACATAAAGATCTTTATCATTGACATCGTCTATCATACGCCACATCATCAAAACATGTCATGTTCACCCCCTCAATATTAGCATGGTTTGGCAAGGGATTTGTATTCATATTTAGAGAAATTAGAGTGTAATACCCGATACCCGTTAAAATTAAAATTTAATAAAATTAAATATTAAGTACATGTGAGAAATATTTTGAAGGTATGAAATAACCCTTAAGGACTTAAAAGAATAGATAAAATAACTTTTTTATGCTTAATAAATATTTTATCGATTTTTCGATGCATGAAAAGTAACTTTTATATGAAAAAATTATTTTGAGCATGTTACATATGTATAAAAATGTTTTGTTTGCTTAGAATATTTGATAGAGGGGTGTTGAATTATTTTATGTGATTGTATGAATTTTCTTGTGTGTTGCGAATATTTTATTTGAATTGTTATGTAAAGGAATAGTGTTTTAGAGATAGAAGAATTAAATTAGGTACTCCAAATATATGAGAAATTGTTTTTAAGGGCATAGAAAAATCATATAGGATGTGTAGGAGTATCTAATAAATTTAAATTAATTTTATCAAGTATAAAGAATATTTGTCATAGGAAATAGTATAATTTTTTATACTAAATAATTAATTTGGAGGCCTAAATGCAGTTGAAAATTATGAAATTTTAGATTAAATCCTATTAATAAATTTTTGAATTATTGTGGAAAGATATTGAATTTTTGGAAATTATAGAATAAAATTTTGGAATGAAGGACTAAATTGCATAAAATTAAAAATCTAATCTTTCAAATTAAATTATGTATAAATTCTAAGGGTTAAATATTGGTCCTAAATAATGGAAAGTAAGGTCTAAAAGTGAATATTTGAATAAACTATGGGTTTAGGAAAGAATTGGCTAAGGAAATCTCTAGAAACTTGAAGTACTAAAATTTGTCATCTTTCATCCAAATTTAGCTGACTTAAAGCATTAATTAAGTCTTACTTTCAGTAAAATTTATGACCAAAAGGAGGCTAAATGGAAAGCTTAAACAAAAAGAAGAATAAATGGCAAAAAATTTAGCCAAATAAAAAGAAATGATTAGGAATTGAATTAAGGGCCGATATTCACCTAAATTAAGGGTGATGATGAAGTAAAAAAGTCTACAAAATTCATCTATAAATAGGGATACTAAAAAAATTAAAAATGCAAAGAAAATAGAAAAACACAAAGGAAACTATTGTAAAATTTCCACTTAAAAATTAACCAAAATATTCCTAACTAATTTTAGACACTCCTAATCGGTGAATTAAGACTCAATTTCAAGTTGGAAGCCAAAAATTTCCAAGGAAAAAATTAAAAGAGCTAATTCAAATTTAAGAGGACAAGAATTCTCAAGCAACCTACCTATTCGAGGTTAATTTGGAGCGTAATCATGTAAGTTAACTTCACATACATCACAAGGCATATTTCATTATCGTTAATTTGTGGTTTATGTGCCTTGATTTGGGAATTTTAGGTTTAATTTCAAAAAGTAGGGTTATGATTCTTGATGAACAAAAATTGGAGGAAATGAAATTGAATTTATAATTCATGTAATTGAGGTTGAAATAAGTTGATTAAGCTTGAAATTGACGTTTAAAACTCAAAAAATTTTAGGGTTCTTTTAAGTATACAATTCAGCTCGATTCACTAGTTTGGGGTTTTTTATTTTTTAATGTAATTGATGTTTTAGAGCTTAATTATGACTTAATTCAGCATGAGTTAGTGTTTAGGAATGAAAAATCGCATTTTAATCAAAGAAAAATCCATAAAATTCTTTAGGGTACATTTAGCCTAAAACTTGGATTTTAGGGTTTGAGTTTCAATCATTCAATTTTGGAATTATTGGTTAATTTGTACTTGAATGAGTATAATTTGATGTGTAGCAAAGAAAAATTTCAAGAAGATTGAAGAAAATTGCTTGAATTTATTAAGGCCCAATTTCGAGTTTGAGGATGAATTCTTACCCTAAATATCAATTAAATTAATTCCAATGGTTAATATGTGTGTAAGATAGTTGGTATTAAAAGTCTAGAATGAAATGAGAAGAAAATAATAGAGTTTAAGTTTAGTAAAGTTTTGGCCTAAACTCGGGGTTTAAAGTCTAAAATGGTTTCTAACGCCTAAATTGACCAATTCAAGCTTGGAACTATATAATTAAAGGAATTAGAATGGAAAATTTCATAAAAACCTAAAGATTAATTAGTTTAATAAAAATTAAGAGTTAGGCCCAATAAGAGAATACCGCCTATATTTAATTAAATAATAGTTAGAATATGATTGAGAAGAATTTGATTTGTTTGATATGTGTATTTGGTATGAAATTTGTATTGTTCATGATTATGAAGTTGTGTTATTTTATGATGTGTAATGGTATGGTTATTATTAATAGTTTGGAATGATTTTGTTAATACAACACTTATGGTTCATTTATGTTATTAAATTTATGCAACATCATGGCATATATACATCTCATTATGACATGAAAATCATGAAACAATAATGGTTATGCATTTTCAATATAAATGCATATGCATGTCCAATCTTATGAAAGATGTTTTAAAGTCATGAAAACGTGTTTTTTTACATCATGGTTTCCAATAACGATTGGAAATGTTTTAAGTAATGGGATTTTCATGACTTTTATGGAATGGTCCGCATTGTTTTATAAAAGGACTTCATGGGTTTTCCATGACTTTCATGGTCCCCGTATTTCTTTCTAAAGAACTTCTTCATATTGGGAAATTGGTAATGGCCTCAATAAAAGGAAATGATATTTCTCATCGGGGAACCGGTAATGGCCTCGACTCGTGGAGGAATTAGAAATGGACCTATAGGAGACACACGTAGAGAAAAAGGTTCAAGGTCAAGTAAGGTACGGACATGCATTTCTCAAGGCTTGATAGGGGGTGTGCCTACGGACCGGTCCGGTTCGAAATACATATATTATGAAAACCCTAAAGTGCCCATATGGGACATGTCCAAAAATGAAAAAAGATTTTTGTATTATGACACAAAAAAAGGATTTAATGTGCATTATATTAATGTTTTACATATGTATATGCATGTATGTACATTACACGCATAAGTTAACTTACTAGGTTGTAGCTCACTTAGTTTCTTGTGATGTAAATACTTAAAGTACAATGACTTACTTTTCTGCAGAGTTGATTTCGAGGGTTGCATCGGACATTTATACCTTGGATGGGGCTTCGGGGTTTCAAGTGGACTGCTACATGCTATTTTGTTTATGATATCGGCTATAGTCTTGTATGTCTTAGAACTAGCGAGTCTATTTTATGCCATACTAAAAGTAATAAATAAGTAAATGTAGTACTTTTAAGAGAATGTAGTTAGTAAATAAGCCAATTTTATAGTAGTTGACATATAACTGGTTTTGTATGTAAATGACAGATTGCATGTAACCGAAGTATTGATAGTAAAATGGTGATGTAATGGTAGTAGCATTGCTTTAAATTATCTATTGCATGTTAGTATTCTTAGGACACTTAAGCAATTTAACTAGATGTGCATCAAATAAAAAGGGTGATATATAAGAAAAAGAATCAATATTATAATCATAAGAATAAATTATAACAAAATGAATTTACAATAATTAATGAGGAAAGAATTTAAAATAATGGATAGCCATAAAACTAATAATCCGAGTTTAAAAAATGTAAACAATTTAATTGAATGTGAAAAATTTATAACGCCTTTTAGGACCTAGCTAGTCAATATTAGATTTCTATGGCCTAGATTTCACTCTAGACGTTAAGATTAAGTTAAAGTGTCTTTTTAACTTGCATTCATTACAATTCGAATGAGGTTAACAACGATAATATTTTTAAGGTGTTACTTAGGGCTTCCTCGGATAAAATCCATCATTAGTCAATCAACGATTGAATTCTCCTCTTGAAACCAATATAATTTTTAATATTATAATTAGGTACATCATTATGATACGTGCATACTTCATTAGGATTATACCATTATGGGAATGAAGGTTTGTAATGGAGTAACGGCCACATGAGACACTTGACTTATGGTTACAAGATATTTAAAAGGATCTCAAAAAGAAATAAGAAAAGGTAATAAGATATCTTTGGGTTCCCTACGTTCAGATTTGTTTGGTTATTCGATTAAATGATGCTTGCTGATTATTAAACTCTCCGAATGCTAAAGGATTCTTTAGAATGGCTTCCGAGTTAACATTGTATGAAAGTTGATGTTTGAGTTGTCAAAGCAACCACATCGACGAGTTTGATATTTATTAGAGTCATAAATTAAGAAGTAATATCGGTCATATTACCTCGTGAAAAAAATTAGTTAGTGGTGTTCTAATGAGTTTTCCATCGACCTTTTGGACAAAATGCTGGTGCTTTAATTTGATGCACGCCCATGTCTTTTCTTTCGCTAACGTTACTTTTCTTGAAGATTGATTTAGACAGATTAGCCACTTTACCAGCTTTAATGGTTTATTTAATTTGGTCCGTTATAGATACCATCTCTACAAAGCTATTACACATATTACTTAACATATAATCATAATAAGGCATCTTTAAGGCATTTATAAAGAGCGTAACTAACTCTTTTCTAGTAGTATCTCTATATAGCTTACACGGATGCTCGATTGGGGAGGTGATCTCATTGATAGAAAAAGTACCATGGGCTTTGCAATTTTTCTTGGCGATAATCTTATTTCTTAGACATCCAAAAAATAAAAAATTGAGGCCCATTCATCTATTGATGCGTAAAATTGAGCCTTGGCAACAATTGTGTCCGAAGTGACTTGGCTTCAATCCCTTTTGCATGAAATTGACCTCAATATTTTGATGTGATAATCTTTCGATAACCTATCTCACAACTAACCTAATGCTTCATGCTCGTTCCAAACACTTGGAAATTGATTTCCATTTTATCAAGACAAAGTCGGCAAGCGAGAATTGCTTGTGCGCTACATTTTCACTCGGAGATCGGTTAGTTGATGCCATGACAAAATTTGTCTTAAAGAAAATATTTTCACTTGGCTAACAAGTTGATCGTACTTTCGCAGCCCAAGCATGGTCAACTTGAGGGAGGATGATAAAGATATAAATCTACTATTGTCTATATCAAGATAACAATTACATTATTGTATATATTTCAAGTAACTTATTATAACTATTTTAATAACTTACTATATCTAAAACTCTATTTTTCTATAATTTACTATAACTCGAAACTCTATCTTTGAAACTCTATTTAAAGAGTTTACAGCAATACAAAAAATATGTGATAGCCTTGTAATCAATTCTTAGTTTCTTCAAGATGGATTTGAATTCTTAGATTTAAAACTTTTTAAATTAAATTTTTGTGTTGATTTGTTAGTTGAAAATATATTTGAAGGTTAGATTTTATGTTTAGAAAGTTAAGAGGAGTGCTTTAAAGTCATATTTTCAGTTTGTTTTTTGCAAAAAGAATATATATATTTTCTTTTTGCAAACAACAAACTGAAAATATGATTTTATGGAGTGGCCGGCCAATGTGACCAAAATCTGATGAATGTCTCAGGATCCGCTGCGATTTGTTCAGAGAAGATGTGGTAGACGTGTCTTCCCATCCAGTTTGCTCAATGCTTGGGCTGCATCCTAGCCCTAGTGCATCTGGACTTGGTTCGGGACCCATCTCTTTATCCTCGAGCCGTTTCTTTTTTTTTTTTTTTCACAGATTCCTTACACTTTTTTTTTCAAATATGGTTTCAAAATATTGTTACATATATGATTTATCCAGAATTTTCTTTACCATTCCCCTAATGAATATTGTAGAAAATTAATTGAGCAAAGTAGAATATCATGTAATTTATATAATTTTTTAATTCACATCAATAAAAAAATTATAATAAAGTAATTAACAATTTATTTAATAAATAATTTTTTATATTATGAAAAATTATTTCTATAAAAAAATGAAAAATGTCATATAGTACAATGATAAACTCAAACTCGACCTAATTTTTTTAAAATATAATAAATATGAAAAAAAAATTTAACATGAGAATTCTTTTTTTTTTTAAATAAATGAGTCAGGTTTGATTTTCTAATATTAGAGTATTTCCATTAGCTGGGTGAAAATATATCTAAGAAAAGAATATATTAGAGAATAAATTAGCATATAAAAATAAATTGAAAGCAATTTGATTAGACTTAAAATATAAAGACAAATTGAGCAAGTTCTCAAGATTTTAGAAGTAAACTATAAGAAAATACAAAACTTCAAGGGGCTTATTGTAGTTTACCCTATCTGTTTTTCAACTGAGGTCCATTTCCATTTTGGAGCTGGCTAATGCTAAGTGCACACACTCTTGACTCTCCTACTTTATGGACCGGAATTTCCCAGTCACCAGTCAGTCCTCTCATCCTCAACCTTTTTGCTCCGATCAGATCATCAGAACCCGAAAATTGACCAAAAATACATACACACTCTCTCTCAATTACACCAGATTCTGATTATGTGAATTCATCCAGAAACCCTAAGAAAACAAGAAAAAGCAAATGACGGAGCCACAAATGATGAACAACAACAACAACACCAACAGTAATATTCCGGTGAGCGAAGTGTATTGGTCTCTCGTTGATAAAGCTGATAAAAAATTCTCCAAAATCAGAGACTTGCCTTATTATGAACGCAACAGGTACTCTCTGGTTTTTTTTTTTTTACAAAAAATATTTTTTTGGCAGTAATTTTTAATTACTTCATATTTTATGCTGTTAGGTATGATACGTATTTTTACAAGGTATTCAAGGTATACACGCAATTGTGGAAATTTCAACAGGAAAATCGGCAGAAACTGGTAGAAGCAGGGTTAAAAAGATGGGAGATAGGGGAGATTGCGTCGCGGATTGCTCAGCTTTATTACGGGCAATATATGAGGACGAGTGATGCCAGTTATCTGTCCGAATCCTATGTATTTTATGAAGCAATTTTGAGTAGGGAGTATTTCAAAGATGGATTGTTTCAGGATCTTAATCTGGCCAATAAACAATTGAGGTTTTTGGCTCGATTTCTTATGGTTTGTTTGGTTTTTAACCGCCGTGAAATGGTTCATCAGTTGGTTAATCAACTCAAAATCTTGGTTGATGAATGTAGGAAGACATTCCAGGTCTTTATTAATTCTTTTTATTGTCATTTTTGCGTTTTGATGGTTATATGTCAGTTTAAGGTTTTACTTGTTTTGTTGATTATTGTTTTAGGGCTTTGTTACAATGAATTTTCGATGCTATTTGCTTTACATTTTGTGTTTCATCAAGTTTTGCTTGAGTGCACGTTTGAGGATTGAAGCTTGATAGGGAGATATTGTGTTTTCTATAGCTTATTTTGTTTATTTTTATGTTGTCATTGCGATCAAATTTCTGGATAGTTTACCTTTGAATTTTTATTTCTTGATCCTAATGATTATGAATTTGTCATGGAGAAGAAAATCATTAATCAACATTTTTTGAATTAGATGGACTCAATAGTGAAGCAATGAAGTGGTGTTGTTATTATGTAATCTTAAACTGATGGTACGCTTTAACTCGTGTAACTCCTACTGCTTCTCATCTTATGATTGTCATCAAATAGTTGTGTTTTTTGCTTTTAAGATGATATACTGTCAGTTGTGTTAATTGTTAACTCATGTGACTTATTTATTTATTTATTATTATTATTATTATTTTTTTTTTTTGCGATTGTTCATCCTGCACTATGGATCTTTACAAAACATTCCCGTAATTACTGTACAAACCATTCCCAGTTGATGTATATGTGACTATATAGGAGTGCCTGTATGGCGACAAAATTCTACTATTGTGCTTTTTCTTTTAGTCGGATTGAGTGGTGAATGATGACCTTCTATCGATTTTGTTTCCAGGAAACTGATTTTAAAGAATGGAAGCTGGTGGTTCAGGAAATAATTAGATTTTTGAAAGCTGACACCGCTTTTATGAATATCAGGCCTTTAAGATATAGTCTTGTACTGGATCTTCATCCAGATTCACTACCACGTGTTGCAACTAGAAGAAGCTTAAAATTACGAGATGCAATATTGAGTAGCTACCATCACAATGAGGTTAGGTATTAAGGTTCTTCTTTCTATCTTTTTGTCCATACCAACAGAAGGATCTTGCATGTATGATTTGAACTGAGATGTTTTGTTGACTTGTATTTGTCCAGATGGTGTCATATATCATTCACTAACCGTTACTGGTTTGATTCTTTATCAGGTCAAGTTTTCGGAGCTCACGCTAGACACATTCAGGATGCTTCAGTGCCTGGAGTGGGAACCAAGTGGTTCATTTTATCAGTCCAGCAGTACTAAAATCGGTCAGAATGGGGGTTCAGGGTCTAGTCGCATTAACTATGCACAGGATATAGCTGATCCTACATTGCCACTAAATGCAAGGAAAGCTGTCCTGTATCGACCATCTGTAACACATTTTTTAGCAGTGAGTATGGTGTAATGTATCAGTTCTTTTGTCATTGCCTGATCTCCAATGATCTGTTCTTTCTGTATTGACTAATGCAGTCCCGCAATATCTAAGTCAGACGTGCGTCTATTTATTATCCCCATTTATAGGTTGGCAGAAGGAATTCTTCCTATTCTTCTCTTATTCAAATGAACATTGTTTGAAGTTGTTATCCTAATCAAATAACTGACTGAATTATGTCTGTTTTTGGACGGTCCATTGTTAAATTTATAGTTTCAGGATTAAAGCAATTGGTTGAAATTTAAAAAGTGTGATGTGCAACACTGGGGGATTGATGTCATTAATTACCTTAACACTTGGGAAATTGTGGGACTGTTGCATTGAAAACTTCCATAATGTGCTTTCCCTGGGCAGGTTCTGGGTACAATTTGTGAGGAGCTAGCCACTGATGGAGTTATCTTGATATATTTGTCAGCTTCAGGTTGTGTAATTTTGCTTTGTTTCAGAGCTCATAGTGAATCATTTTTATCTATTGAAGGAAATGCAAGGTTTTCTCACCTCATAAATCATTTAAATTGTTTCAGGAAGAGTTGGACACACTATTTCACCTCCCTCAGGTGCTGGAACTTCTATCAACACTACCGAGAACACAGCGAGAAACTTTCATGCCATGTACTTGGATGCAGTCTCCTCTTCTCCTTTTAGCTCACCAAGTAATAGTCCAAATCATTCTTCAAGGCGAAGTAAGTCGGACTGCTTGCATTTCGGTACACGTGGAAATGGAGGTACTATTGGTCATTCCTTGCATGTGATATTCTCTCTACAGATATGCTTCTCCTTTTTACCAAGCTTGATATTAGCTTAGCTTAGCATGACTGAGTAAAAAGAACTATCTACAATCCAAATCTTTAGGCATGACTACCCAAATATGTTTCTTGACTTATTTGCTTAACTGTCATCATTGTATTTCCGAAAATTAATTTCATTGAAAAAAATGGGATTTTACCTAGTACAAGAGAAATATTCTTTACAAGACAGCACCAGAGGAAAATACAAAAGAAAAGCTTTAGAAAGGATTGCAAGAAAAGCTTTCATTGCAGTTGAAAACTTACAGAACAAGCTCTTCAAGCCTGTGTCTTCATACCTAACGTAAGTCAATCTGCTCCATCAAAGGCCCAGATTTCCCTGCTAAACATTACAAATTTGAAACTGTCGCCATTCATCTCTTACCGTGACATCACTCCTCACAGCACATCGACAGCTTGAACACCACTCTTGACATAATTAAATGAAATGAATATTGAAACAAAAGCATAGCCTTCTCATGTCAGACCGGGAAAAAGGAACATAGGATGATTCAAGTGGTCTAACTTCTGTGCATTTTGTTTTTCAAAGTATTTGTATTGCAGTTCCTCTCACTATTAATGGGCACTTCTGAGAACTAACTTAAGAGAATTCTTTGTATCTGTTTATACATTGTGACTAGGAAATAATGCATAATGGTTCACTTATATTTGAGGGAAGAAAGGGTATGATCCAAATCTCATTGACCGAGGAACTTAACCTGGCTATTACATTAGTGGATAATATTTTTGGAGACCTATTCCGACACTAAACTAATCCTTTTCCAGGATTGAACAGCATTTATCCTACTGACTTAATCCCATTTACAAGAAGGCCACTTTTTATAGTGGTTGACAGTGATAGCAGCGAAGCATTCAAGGCAAGTATGTCTATTCTTAAGAGTTGTTGTAAAACTTGTAGATATTATTCTTTAACTTTGTTATAAGCATAGTTTTACATTTAAAGGTTTTCGTATGCATAATGATAATCAAAATTGATAATCTACAATTAATAATTTCAAAAGTCATATTTGTTTATGTTAGTGGATTTGGAAAAGTGACAACTGACTAATACATTTGTGGTAGACAGAGAGGAGAAATTCTTGAATACTTTGAATAACATGTAGTAGTTAACTAGCAAGGTGTCTGACCTTTGTTCTGTAACCTTGGCTTAAAGCTTTAGTTACTTTATCATTATTATTATTATTTTAAAATGGAAGGGGAGAGGCATTTTGATTTTATCCTTTAAAATAAGAATAGCAAGTTCTGACCTGGTTTGTTTTCTTTACTTGAGAGGATATAGCCAGCAAGTTGAGAATGCTAACTGCCTTAACTTGGGTCATGTCATGATCTTAACTTTTGTAGGCTATGAGTGGAGCTGAAAAAGGAGAGCCAGCTGCAATCCTCTTATCACCAAGCTGTTCAATTCCCCTTGCTACTGCTGATTCTTCTCGTCATCATAGTGGTAGTCTACTCACCATGTTTCTCACAACTCCTTTGCAGGCTTTTTGTCTGTTAATTGGTTTGTCAGGACCTGATGTTGAAATTGTAAGATCTAACCCCATGCTTCTTCAATATTGCTAATTTAATTTTTGTTGTTTACTAATGGATGAAATGGGCTTCAGGATACATATAACATGGCTGAGAAGCTGCTTTCTTCATCATTGAATGCCTGGGGATTGACTTTGGCAACATCAGACATTCTTGATCCTGTTTGGGCTCAGATTTTAGGTGATCCATTTCTTAGGCGTCTTGTTTTGAGGTACCATTCAATTGTTCCTTCGGTTCTTGCAGTTTAAAACATTGCTCCTTGTACAATTGCATATTTCATAAGCACCAAACAGTTTGACCAAGCAGTGGTGCCACCTGTACTGACAAAAAAGGAAAAGGCACTTCAGTTTTTGGTCCTTTTGAGTTTATGGCAGAATGCTATTCATAGCTTTCTCAATTAGGGTTGGCATCCTTGTTTTGGGGCTACCTTCAGACCTTACCTGGCTTAGGCATGCACCTCCACTCAAGCAGATGCTTTTCTTGACTACTGATTCAGTTTTATGGCATGCATGGTAGCAAAATTTTTTAACAAAAGGATAATTGGGAATTTTAGACTTAATATTTTTTACCATTTTGTTTGTGCACGTGTTTCTGGTTATCACATCAAAAGCTATTTTAATAGCACATGTTACCAAACACCTCTCAAAAGTCACCACAGTAACCAAAGTCACTGTTTCAACTACAGCCAAAACAAAAACCAGCTTGTTGCTTGAATGGTAATATCCAATCTAAAAGTGGTTGTGACTCTAATTCAATGTAATATTTCCTTATGACTTGAGTGATTTACAGATTTTGTTTCCCTTTATTAAGTTGCAACAATGAAAGGACAAATCCTGTAGTGACTGAACCAACTGTATTTACATGCGTTTGGGGCTGGCAAATTTCATTCCACTTTGATGGTTCCTCTAGGGAAGGAATCGACCCTATTGCATGGAAATACCAAAATAGAGCTTGCCTTAAAATAATAATAATAATAATAATAATCATCCTATTATTTAGGTGTCAAATACCAGGATGAAACTCAAATTATCTGACAGTTGATTATGCGATTAAGATCTCTTTCCTGTTTGCAGATTCATATTTTGCCGGGCAGTGTTGACACTATTTGCACCATCCTTTGGGAAGAAGGAATTCCATCCTGAGTGTCTGCCATCTCTTCCGGCACCTCTCCAGCCTAATGCCACAGGATGTCATACTTTGGTTTTGCAGATGGCCAACATCTTTGGTGCAACTAAGAAATTCATTTTCTCAGAAGGCGTTGTACTTCCTGAATGTACACAGAGTGATTTGGAGATGGCTTCGTCCTCGTAAAGATATGTTTTGGAAATAGGGATTTGACAAATGTAATTTTTATGTATCACCATTTGTTTGATTGGATTCAAGAGGGCATTTACATTTTTCATTATGAATGTTGCTGCTGTTTTTATTATGAAGCTTGTTCCTAATCTACTGAAACATCTGCAGAAAATAGTACCAACACAATTCATGCCTGTCTATTTATGCATAAGAAGACAAACGAATAGAGATTGCCTAAGGTTGACAATGCCTTACCTGATGTATGTAGGACAGCCATTTGATCGTTGTCATTAAGAGCCATGTCTACTGTTTTACATTTGTTCTACATGCTTGAGATTTATCAACAAATAAACAAGCAATTTATAGAAGATCAAAACAGATAAACTCATGATGATCGCTGTAAACCACAGCTTATGTGCATTCTAACCGTCTGGTAACAAAGTTATTCCCATGAATAGGTTCCATTGAAGTAATTTAACACTCATGGACCCATTCTTTGCTCCGCATGACATGGAGTGTGGTCCAAGATGTTTTGGGCTTGAGTGTGGTCTAAGATATTTATGTAGGCTTTAAGATCACATATAAATAGATCGAGATTTTTTTTTTTTTAATCGGTTGAAATTATACTTTGTTAGGACAAAATTGTTTTTTAAAACATTATTTTTAATAGTATCTTGTATTAGGATAATTGTGCTTTTCGGAGTTTGAATGTAATATTACAAAGAAACTAAAACAAAACATGAAATCATGATATATAAGTTCATTTTATCCCAATTTCATCGAGCCTCATCTTCTTAGATAAAAGCAGTTACATTGTCCTATTCATAACCATCATTTTATCCCTTGCTACAACTGTCGCCACCATCACAACCCGATGCTAACCATCAGCCAATCATCACCACAATAACCTACAGCACCATAGGTTGCTCCACCACCAAGCCAAAGACTAACTCTCTCACAACCGTTGATCCCTTTCCTTGTTGCTGCACTTCTCGACAATAGTCCCCTCAGTCGCTGATCACCATCTAAAATCAATTGATGGCCCGCCATAACCTTTAGCCAGCAACATCTAGCCTTCCACTGCTATCAAGTCGTCACTAGCGTCTCCCTCACCCAAACCTATAACCATTGCAACTCTCAAAATTCCTCCCTCATCGTCAATCTCCGTACCCCGAAACCACTCCTCTTCACATAGCTGCCGCAATCAGTCCCGAAGATCAACCACAGGCTCAAACTCTTGCACAGCCCCGAAGCTTCACCAATCCTGAAACTCAACCACAGCCCCAAAACTCAACAAGCCCTGAATTACTCTTCCATAGCCTCAAAACTCAACTAGCCCGGAATTACTCTTCCACAGCCCCAAAACTAAACTAGACTCGAGAGTTTTTGAAGTCCATATATGAAGCTTTGGCTTTATTTAGTAGGTCTTTCGACCTAAATTCTTATGTTGATCTCTAAATTTTTGTATTCTCATGATTTTTGTTTCAACTTTATGTATTTTTGTAGATTGTTAAGAAATGAGAGAGGTATGAATAATGAAGTTTTTATCCAATGTTATTCTTTCAATCCTGTCTTTGTGATAAGTTGTTTTTTACGAGAATATTTGACTAAGATAGGATTTTGCTATGTTAAATTTCAGGTATATAAATTCAATTTTTGGATCGACACCATTTCAATGGTCATTTATCAATCATGATCTTTGTCTTTTGAACATTTTAGTTGCGGCTGATTACTTTGATTCAGTTCCTAATTCATTGAATTACACAAGCCATTAAGGTTATTATTGATGAGGGCCCGTAGGAAGGCGCTGGAGATGGTGTCGCCACCTAACTAATCAAGAAGAATTAAAAAATCCTAAACAAATTGGTCTACTTTAATATCTGGATAAAAAATTGATTACGTATAGAAAAGATATAACATCATCGCATCTCACTCTATCCGAGTTAGGTAGCATTGAATGCATACAAAAATAAAAATATAGTTTTATTATGTTATATTTCTATATCTATTTAAGTGAATTTATTTTATTATGATGAAATAGTAAAGTAATTTAGGTTTTAGATCGAGTCCAAGGCCAATGGCCATACTTAAAGAGGAAAGGTGATGAAGATTGGAATTTGGGTAATCTTTAGTGAACACAAAACTATATCGATAAATAGGTGGGTTTATAAAGATTGAGAGCCTATATTGATATGAATAGGAAGTCACTAACAACTTTACTTACATAAGTGGAAAGCCACAGAGGATTTTGGATTATAAGTTTAGGAAGCTATTGACAACTTTATCACATGAGTGGAAAGCCATCGACAACTCTATTTTGCTTGAGTAAGGAATAGATAATTGGTTTATAAGTCACCGCCAATTTCATCACATAAATAGAAAGCCATCGATGACTTTATTTCAAATGAATAGAAAGTAAGTAAATTGATTTGAAAGCCACTAACAGACTTTGTCTACATAGGTGGAAAGCCACCAATAGTTTCATTTTCGGATGAGTAGAAAATAGGTAAAATGATTTTGAAACCACCGAGTAGCTTTGTCACATAAGTGGAAAGCCATTGGAAGCTTCATTTAAATGACCAAAAAGCAAGTAAATGGAGTTGGAAGCCATTGGTGGCTTCGTCCACATAATAGGAAGCCATTAGCTTCTTTATTTTTAGACGAGTAGAAAACAAGTAAAATAACTTCAAAACGAGTGAGAAGTCATTAATAGCTTCTTTTCAAATGAACAAAAAGTAAGTAAATGGATTTGGAAGCCACCGATGGCTTTGTCCACGTAAAATGACTTCGAAAACAAGTAAAATGATTTCGAAACAATTGATGACTTCATTAGATAACCGGGAACCTATTAATAGCTTCATTTTCGGATAAGCAAAAAATAGGTAAAATGACTTCGAAACTACTAGCAGACTTTGTCACAAAAGTAAAAAGCCACCGACAACTTTATTTCAAATGAACAAAAAGCAAGTAAATGGATTTGAAAGCCACTAACGAATTTGTCCACACAGGTGGGAAGCCAATGGCCGCTTCATTTTCAAACGAGTAGAAAATAGGTAAAATAACTTTGAAACCATTGATGACTTCGTCACATAAGTGGAAAGCCACCGACAACTTAATTTTAAATGAATAGAAAGCAAGTAAATTGATTTGGAAGCCATTAGTGGCTTTGTCCATATATATAGGAAGCCACCGACGACTTCAATTTCAATGAGTAGAAAGTCGGACAATCATCTCAAATATAATTAGACATTTGATAATTCAATCATCCACAACAAGACATTTTCATAATTTTCATTTGTTGTTTTTTTTTTAAAAAAAATCGTTATAGATTCGAAATTTACCCAAATGTCGTTATGGTGTTAGCGATTAATTTTGGATTAGTTTTACTTCTTTTAATCTTGATAAAAACTAATTATTTCAGCCAACCAAGAAGGAGGAAGCAATTATTCTGGAGCCCTTTTTCAATTTTATTTTGTCTAGCTTAAAGTTCCACAACAAAAACTAATCTTGTTTTATCTGATCCAATATTCTTGTTTCAACTAATAAATAATAACCATATGCAAATTTGTAGTCTATAACATCATATAGTTCCTATCAAATTCAACAATCAACCAATATTTTTTATGTTTTGTTATGTCCAAAATTCAATTCAAGTTTTTGTTACTATCAACACCAATAACAAGCATATTTTGCATTTTTTTTTTTTTGGTGTGATTCTATCTAAGATTTGAGGCTAAAATTTGTTAGGTACTTGGGTCGGTGTTTTGGCCAAAAAAGGAAATAGGGAGTTATTGCGATCGAAAGGGAGGAAAAGGATGATGCGATCACGAGGGAGAGAAGGCTTATTGAGGGTCTCAACCAAAGAGAGGAGAAAGGGATATTACGGTTGAGAGGGAGAAAAAGACTTATTGGGGGTCTCGATCAAAAAGAGAAGGAGTGTAGCACCCCCGACCTAGGACCTAGATAGGCCCAGATTATTATCGACCTTGACTTACATTTGAAGTGCAATGAAAGCAAGCCAACAAATATCTTTCCTTAACATTTCTAAAATACTGGCAAAATGGTAGTTTTCGTACAAGGTCCCTAATAAATAGGAAACAATATGTCCAAATTAATTAAAAGCTTAGGCATAAATTTTTTTTTTCAAAAATTCCTCTAACATCAATTAATATTCCTACATCATCCGTAGAAATATTAAATGTCATAATTTGGTCAAAAACTCATTTTCTTGATATACAATTTAACTATTTAAATAAAATACCTTATATTATAATGAATAATGTCATGTCTCTTAGTTTTCTCAAATTCCTTTTAAAAATTTATATTTCATTTAAAATAAAAATATTTAATTTCCAAATAATCTATAGAACATAGTAGGATTATTTACTATCTAGAAATAATTTAATTATAATATCTTCAATTTAATTAGAAAATAATCAATATATATTAAACTATTAAATCTTGATTTAATGCCATTATTTTTATAAAAAATTCATCAATTAGAAATCTATTTAATTAATTCAATTAAGAATTTAGATCTTTAATTTAAGTTTTGACTATTTAAAACATTTTTTTTGACTTATTGAACTTTGGTTCCAAATTTATTTAAACTAGTCTATTGAACTAGTCCATTAAATTTATTTAGTTATTAACCATTAAATTTTATTTAATGCCTTAATCTTTGTAACCATATTTACTTTTCCATTTTAATTCCATACTTTTTACCATCAAATCTTTAGCTACTAAACAAAGTGAACAAATAGCAAATGAGGATTAGATGATAACTCAAAAATAAAATTTTTATTGAAAGCAATTAATAATGGATAATTATTTGACAATAAACTAGCATCCCTAAATAGTCCTTAGATTTCTCAAGCAAAACACATAAATAAATCATAAGAATAAAAGCTATCACTTAGCAATAAACTAGTTGTTGTAAATAATCATTCGTAGATAACTACTTAATAAAGAAGTCATGTTGTCAAGTACTCCTTCTCTTCTCATACAAAAAGCACATTATAAGCAAGAAAAGATGCAAATCATATTTTATTTATCCATTCATTGCCATTGGAATTATGATCGTTTTAAGACTTGATGATACGATCAAGAAAAGTAAACAAGCAAACAAGTAAAGCATTCAAATCCCTAATAATGGAAATAGGGCTTGATTCAAATGAGTTGTTGTACCCTAAGACATATATGCATACCCTAAATCCCGATAGGACTTAACCATATAAGCATGCAAAAATATCAATTATCATCACTCTAACTATCCCTCGGAGATTTTATTCAAAATAGTGATATTATATAAGAAAATTGCTCTAGATCGAAGATGTAACACATGATTTATAAATATGCATCCAAGTAAACGATGATCGGTAAAGGTGATAGCAAGATAGGCATGTAAAATGCCCCCTAATATGATCCAAAGTAAGAATATAGGAGTGTCTCCTAGAGTGGTTAGATGTAAATCATAAGTTTGACCCCTAATATGTTTGAATGTATCCTTACAATTGAATTGAAGTAGCAAGAAGTTAAGTTGGAGGAACTCGTTGAGTATGAACTTCCCGACTTGTCATATATTGAGGACTTGGTTGAACAATTAACGTGATCGACATTGACTCATATACATTTTGATAAATTTGAAAGTTTTCATCTTGATTATTACTTCTAAAAGAATATAAAAATTTGAGACTTGTCCTTTTGATGTTTGGTCAATAGGCATAAATTACCACGTCCAATTGAGTTTGTCCTAAAATTGGGTAAATTGTTTATGAAGGACTAAATACAACTATAGCATATGACCATTCTACTTTGCAACAAAAAATAATTTTTTTTCCTTATAAGAACTTAATATGTCAATTGGCATTAGCTTTAGTTTTTAGAGAAGTTAACTCTTCCCCGTCCTCCCTTACAATCTATATCTAAAAAAATTGTGTTATATTGACAAAATTGGCGATCCAACATTCTTTAAGATTGTTGAGCAACCGTTGATTGATATGTAGGTTGATTAGTGAGATCTTGTCCAAGTCAATATGGTCGTGGCCTAAAAATTGATTATTTAACCATATAATTAGCTTATAAAGTTGATTATCTAACCTTTAGTTAGCCAATAATCCTAAATAAAATGATCAACATGTCCCTAAAGATTTGAAGGATATGGAGCAACTACCAAAAATGGTCTAGAGGAGTAGAGATTCATAGACAAATATATACATCGAGTTGATTTCTCACACTAACATCAATGTACCTCACCAAGCATGCTATTAAATATTTAATCAATTAAATTTTCCTTCATCAAGAGTAGGATGCAATAC